GCAGACGACAAGAAGTATTAGCAAAGATGATGGGAAATTGGAACCTTCATACGTCCCTGTTGTAAAATTCTGTAGGTAAAATGTAAAAATATGCAACTACTTGGAAAATAGCTTGACAGTCCCTTAAAGAGTTTAATATAGGGCCGGCGCCGCGGCTCACTAGGCTAATCCTCCACCTAGCGGCGCCGGCACACCGGGTTCTAGTCCCGGTTGGGGCGCCGGATTCTGTCCCGGTTGCCCCTCTTCTAGGCCAGCTCTCTGCTGTGGCCAGGGAGTGCAGTGGAGGATGGCCCAGGTGCTTGGGCCCTGCACCCCATGGGAGACCAGGAAAAGCACCTGGCTCCTGGCTCCTGCCATCGGATCAGCGCGGTGCGCCGGCCACAGCGCGCCGGCCGCGGCGGCTATTGGAGGGTGAACCAACGGCAAAGGAAGACCTTTCTCTCTGTCTCTCTCTCACTGTCCACTCTGCCTGTCAAAAAAAAAAAAAAAGAGTTTAATATAGATTTACCATATAACCTAGCAATTATAGTTTTATGTATGTGCTCAAAAAAGGAGAAGATGTACACTCAAACAAAAACTTGTATAGAGATGTTTATAGTAGTCAATTCACATGTCCACCATGGATAAATGAGTAACAAACTATGGTACATCCATACATTGGAAAATTACTTAGCCAAAAAAAGGAATGAAGTACCCATTTGTAGCACAGTAAGGACAAACCTTGAGAACATTATGTTAAAAAAAGAAACCAAGCAAATAAACAAACAAACAAAAAAAGGCCACATGATGTTCAGTTCCAGTCACCTGAAAAGGGGTGGGCATTGGAACCCAACAAATTAAACCACTGCTTGATAAGCCTGCATCCCATCAGTGTGATGGGGGTTGAGTTCCACCTCTGCTTCTGAGCCAGCTCCCTGCTGATACACCTGGAGGCAGCAGATGATGTCTTAAGTGCTTGGGTCCCTGCCACCCACATGGAAGACCCAGATGGAGTTCTGGGCTCCTGACTTCAGCCTGGTCCAACCCTGGCTGTTGTAGGTATTTGGAGAGTGAACCACCAGCAGATGGAAGATTTCTCTTTCTGTCTCTCTGCCTTTCAAATAAATTTTAAAAAATTTAATGTTGATTTTATGATTTGTAAAAATTTGTAAATTTTTTTAAGCACCACACACCTAGTGAGGGATGCAACTACACAGCTTACTGAAGGCATGGACCAAGGCCAGGGCAGCAGGCAGCAAGCTGTGAGGCAGGGCTGCCTTGTCCCTGGGAGTGCTACCCTGGGGCAGCCACCACACACCACCTCTCCTCCAGGGCCAGCTTCCCTGTTTGATACCTCCCGGGCAGCTGAGGACAACTCCAGGTCCTTTGGCAATGTCACCCGTGAGTAATGTACTCCAACCCCACAGAACAGAAGACTCCATTTTGACTGATCCTGTGAGTTTAAACCACCAGCATCCAAGTGGACCTTTACTTGGTTTGACACACATAAACACATCCAGACATCTCATCTTGCTGAGAAAGATTCATCTCATGTAAAAGGCTATGCTGATGTAATTTGAATGCATTCCCCAGAGGTTCATGTGTTGGTAACGTGATCCCCAAATCCCCTGTGGGTGGTGGAGACCCAAGTGCTTGAGCCATCTCTGCTGCCTCCCAGGGCGCACATTAGCAGGAAACCAGTCAGAAGCGGAGCCAGGGCTTGAACTCAGGCACTCAGATATGGGATACAGGCAAACCAAGCCATGTCTCAATTGCTCTGTCCAATATCTTCCCCAAGTCTCTCTTTTTAGAAGATGTCTGAGGGGCCAGCGTTGTGACACAGCGGATTAAGCCACCGCCTGCAAAGTCAGCATCCCATATGAGTGCCAGTTCAAGTTCTGGCTGTGTCACTTCCAATCCAGCTTCCTGCTAATGTGCCTGGGAAAGCAGTGGAAGATTGCCTGGCCCAGCTATCTGGGGAATGAACCAGAGGGTGGAAGACAGCATGTGTCTGGGGCCCTCTGTGCTGGGTCACAGGAGCTGACTGGCAAACCTTCAGGAATCCTGCAGACTACTAATGTCACGTTGGTAGCTTGAAATGAGCCGGAGGTGGCACCTGCTGGCTCCATGTGGGGCTCAGGCTCCTGTGCCAGACCTTTGCAAGCCACATCATTTGTCACCCAACCCACTCCGTGCTTTCTTAACCCCTGACCCTGCTGCACTGCTCTGCGCGCTCTGCCTGGTGCTGACTCCTTGCCCAGTGGGGAAGGGACAAGACTGGCAGATGCGAGGGCAGGGAGCAGCCCTGCTCTGCACCAAACCAAGAGCAGGACAGCATATGATCAGGTGCACAACAGCCCCACAGATGACGGTCATGAGGTGCGTGCGATTCCATACCACGGTGGCCCCAGCCACTCAGCTCACATTCCTGCGGGCGCCACCTCCAGTTCTGTCTCAAGGAGTAACAGGGACAGCTGGGTCCCCAGGCAGGTGGCCCTCCCACCTCCTCCCTGAGAACAGGGGTAACACTGCGACAGTCCAAGAACCTGGAGTTTTAAGTTCCAAAGTCACTTTCTTCCCACCACGCAGCCCCTCCCTCAGCAGCCACCACAGGCTCCAGACCCTTCTGCCCCCCAGCCCAGCCCCCTCCTGGGCCTCAGCCCCTCCACCTCCCCCCGTCCCACTGTGTCCCAGTGAGTGCCCTTACATGTGCCTCGGGCCAACCACAGAGCGCCCTCCACTCCCCCGCACTCCGCCCTCTGCTGCCCCCTCCACAGCCAATCAAGTGCTATTCGCTCTACCTCCCAGCCCTGAGTCCACCAAGGGGCTTCCCTGTTTGCTGGTGTGCCACTTCCTGTCCCCTGCCACTAACCGCAGATGTCCCTGTCTCTTCCCCTGCAGCCCTTTCTCCAAGCAGCACGGGGGCTGGAGGGTGCGGGCCGGCAGGAAGAACAGGGAAAGTGGCAAGATCGGATCCAGGCAGGAGGAGTAGCTGGGCATCACACAGGGGCAGTGGACACATGGACAGGGTGTCACGGCGGCTTCTGGGACAGGAAAACTCTCACCCCCTCCAAAAGCTGGGGGAGATGACCAGTCCCCACCAGCTGGTGTGGCCAGATCCCTGCACGCAGAGGGGCTGACACCAGTGCCAGCACTGACACCTCATGGGGCAGCGCAGACTTCAAAGGAGGGTGTAGGCTTTCGCTCCCAGACGGCGGGCAGCTGCGAGAAGCTGATGCGGGGAGAGAGCTGAAGAAAGGCACCCACGTGTTCACAAAGGACATCTCTGAACCATGAGGCTGTGGCTGTCTCCTTCCCCCCCACACTTTCCCTGCTGCTCCAGGACAGGCAGTGTTGCTGGGTTGTCTGTGGCTGAGCCCACCACCTCCATCTCCATCTCCAAGGAAGGCCCAAGGGACTCAGGGGCAAGAGGACCCCTGGAGGGGGCTGGCCCTGTGGTATAGCAGGTAAAGGCTCCACCTGCCGCACTGGCATCCCATATGAGCACCGGTTCAAGTCCCGGCTGCTCCACTTCCAATGAAGCTCTCTGCTGATAGCCTGTGAAGGCAGTGGAAGATGGCCCAAATCCTTGGGCCCCTGCACCTGCATGGGAGACCTGAAAGAAGTTCCAGGTTCCTGGTCTCAGCCTGACCCAGGCTGGCCATTGCTGCCATTTGGGGAGTGAACCAATGCCCGGAAGACCTCCCCCTCCCACTTTCTCTCTCCCCCTCTTTCTCTCCCCCACCCCGCCTCTTTCTCTCTGTAACTCTTTCAAATAAAATAAATAAATCTCAAAAAATAAAACAGGGGGAGGGAGAGAGAGAGGACCCTGGCCAGGGAACAGAGCCATGCGGGACCTCACTTGCTGCCAAGCTGGCTGCAGCAGGAGGCTGTGCCTCACCTGGGGTCTATCTGTGCCGGAAGTAGCCCTCTCACACACCTCTCCCCCTGCCAGCACAGCCCTGCCCTTCCTTCTCCTTTTCCTTTTCTAGAAAACCGAGGATGGGGAAAGACTCTTAGACAGGGCTGCCCATCTCTCTGTACCAGGGTCCCCAGGGGCTCAAGGTGTCCCAAGTCAGAGGAGCTGGTCTTGCCACAGCATAGGCCCTGAGGCTAAGAAGAGAGGAGTGGGAAGTGGGGACTGGCTAGGTGGCCAGCCCCCTGCAGTTGGGGACCTCTGGGGGACCTCCCTGCGTCTCAGAGGGATTTGGAACCACCACGCTGTTCTAGAGGGCACTACCCAGCTCTCTCCAGGTCCCTTTCCCAGATGACCCTGCAGGGCTCAAGGGTCAAGAGGCCTTGGAGAAGAGCAGGTTCCTTCCAGGCTGCTGGGCTGGAAGGGGCCCTTGGGGACAGGCCCCTCCCACCCAGCCCTGAGTCATGCACTTGTACCCAGACGGGTGCCAGAAAGGACCACCCAACACTGGCTGGCCACTGGCAGACACGTGACCCGCCTGCTGAGCCCGCTCCCTCCTCTGTAAAACAGCAACAGGGGCCTGAGAGCAGAGACCAGACCAGACCAGAGGATTCTCTGTCCCCAGGCCACCCCGGCAGCCCGTGCTTGGCCGCCACGACTGGCCAAGTGCCCTAGCGCCATCTACCACATCTAACCAGCTGACCAGAGGAAGAGAAAGATCCCCCGGAATGGGTCGGGAAGCTGGTGGCTATTCCAGTGACCTTGGGCAAGGCCTCCCCCGCCTCCCTGAGCCCTGGCTTTCCTAGTGAGGGGACAGCTGTCCTGTCACACAGGGCGAAAGCGGTTGGAACGTGCTGGGCTCCACCTGCCGCCGCCCGCAGCCCGGCGGCAAGAGATGCAGGGGGCCGGGGTGAGAATCCCTGCCTGGACAGGGCGCTGCAGCCAGGGGCGGGGCGAGGGTCCGAAGGGTCAGGGAGGCCAGGCCGGGGGCGGGGTCAGAGGCAGCGGGGGCCGGCCAAAGGCGAGCCGCTCCCGGGTAGGGGTCCCGGCTGGGGTCCTGCTGTCCGGCCCGTGGCGCCCTCCGGCGTGGGGTGGGGGCTGTTACCTTCCCGTCATGGTGGCCGCGCACGCTGGGCCGGGGTCTCCTCCCGGCTCGCTCCGCCGCAGCCGCCACCGCCGCCAGCCGCGCCCGACAGCCCGTCCAGCCTGGGCTCGGAGCAGGGAGACGCCCAAAAAAGGCCAAGAGCGGCTCCGCCCGGCCGGGAGCCGGGTGAGGACGAGAGGCGGGGGCGGCCCGTGGAGGGCGGGGGCCCGGGGGCTGGGGGCGCCGCCCCCGCGCGGCCCCGGCTCCGGGGACCGGGCGCGGGGCACGTCCTGGCCACCCGGACTGCGCTCACCGCCTCCCGGATTCCCGGCATAGTTTTCCTTTTAAAGGGAGAGAAGCGGCCACAAGCGCGATGAGCACCCCCGCAGCCGCGCCGGGACTCTCTGCCTCCGCGCCCACCTGCCCGCGCCGCCTCGCCAGCCCGCTGTGCGCACCGCCGTCCCGGCAGGACCCCTCGCCTCATCTCGGCGCCTGTGTCTCCCGAGACCTCCGTTTGGGCACCGCCGGAGGGCTGCGTCCACGCAGTCCCGTCCCCAAGGAGACCAAGGCCGAGGGCGACCCTTCCGTGGCGAGCTGGATCCCGCCTTTGAGTCCAGCGACTTCCTGCGTCCCCCGCAGCTTTGCAGATGACAGAACCGAGCAAGGGCAGGCACAGCCAGAGAGCTCCTACTGACAAGCCACGAGAAAACCACCTGCTGACAGAAAGCCACTGGGGGAATCTGGTCTGAGAAAATTGCTAAACCAGCTAAGCAAACTAAGCAAAAACCCGGCAGGACATGTAGCAGCTAAGACACTACACTAACACTGTGCAATTTTATACTTGCCACCCTCGGCCTTGGCAATGGACAAAGGCTGTCTAGAAATGACCAGGCAAGGAGTAACTGACAGTGGAACCCCGGGCAGACACGTGGTGCACCCTCTGGAAAGACACCTGCTCCTAAGCAGCTGACAATTGGAATCGCCTGCAGTTGGCAGTTATTGCCGCTTGTGATTTTGTGTGATTGCAATTTGATGGTTGGTTAAGCATTAAAGTATGGATGATTTCTTGATTCATCTGCCAGCACAGGGAGAAATGCCTTCCATGATCCCCAACACAGGAACACGCATGCCAGGGTGTTGCACCAGACATCTATCCACTGCTGGGTACTGAGTGGAATATTGGGGTCTAAAGATGCCTGGGGGCTCCCTGGAGGGGACCCCCTTCCCACCATGTAGCTTGCAACCCTTCCTTTTATTTATCTGAAAGGCAGAACTACAGAGAGGGAGAGACAGCGAGATGGAGAGGGCCTCCATCTGCTGGTCCAGCACCCAGATGGCCACAACAGGTGGAGCTGGGCCAATCTGAAGCCAGGAGCCAGGAGCTTCCTCAGGGTCTCCAACGAGGGGGCAGGGGTCCAAGCACTTGGGCCATCTTCCGTAGCTTTCCCACGGCATCAGCAGAGAGCTGGATAGGAAGAGGAGTAGCTGGGACCCGAACCAGTGCCTATATGGGATACCTGTGCTGCAGGCAGTGGCTCCACCCACTACACCACAGCGCCAGCCCCCAGGCCTCCCTTTTTATGATTGCTGCGCACAGGGGGCTCTGTCTGTGCTGCCATCCAGTGTGCCACATGCTGGGGCAGGGGGCAAACTCAGAACAGGTGGCCACTATGGGCATGGCTCAGTCCCGCTGGTGATATAAAGGCTCTGGGAGCCACGGCCAGGCCCCTACAGAGCAGCCAGAGGTCAGGTGTGCAGGGAGGAGCTGACCATTTCCTGGAAGTGGGTCATTCATAGATCCACTTGCTTGTTCGTGAGTTCATTCAAGGGCATCTATGCCAGATGGTCAAGGCAGGAACAACAGTGAGCGTGGCGACTGCAGCAGGCTGTTATGCCACTTAGCCAGAGTAGCAGGGGGAGCTGGCCAGCTGCAAACAAGTAAATCCACAAACTTGACTTGAGACACGGACAAGTTCCACAAAGGACGATTTGAGAGGCCAGGCGTGAATTCGGAGCAGGGGACGTTTGAGCCGAAACCTGAGTGAGGGAAAGGGCAGAAGGAGGGAGGGATGGGCTTGGGAGCACCAGGTCAGCGTGTGTGTGTGTGTGTGTGTGTGTGTGTGTGTGAAGAGGGAGGGGCCAGGGAAACTGGGAGTTTGGCAGGGCGGGAGGCTGCACTCTGGCCATGATGACACTGTGGACTTCAGACACGTGACTCTGAGTGGGCAGCTGCTGCAAGGGACAGATGGATGCAGGGACTGTCTGCTTAGGGGCCGTCTGGAGCATCCTAGAGGTGGTGCCTCAGGCCAGGAGGCAGTCGGGAATGGTGACAAGGGGTTGGTCCAGGGTCTCCTTTGCAACCATCAGGACCTGCTGAGGACTTGGATGTGGGCTAGGTGTGGGCATGGCCATGTTCATGTGGGCATGATGGGCAGGGCAGCCAAGAAGACATGAAGTTGTCCTTGTTCTGTGGATGTGGGTGATGGCCTGGCGGCAGGGGGAGACATATGCCCACACTGTGATGTTGAAGAAGCCTCTCCGTGGATGGCAGGGGAGATGGCAGGTAGGGGATGGGCTCGGTGGAGGATGTCACCTCCAGGGTGACAAGTCCTGGAAGCTGAGAGGTGGGGGGGAGGAAGAGAGCAGGAGAGCAGAGTCCCCCAGAAGCCCAGAGGGAAAGGGCTCCAGGGAGGGGGGTACGGAGGCCAGGGAGGGGTCTGGATTTGGCCTGGAGAGTGAAGAGGTCAAGTTCAGCTGGAGAGGGGCAGGCAGGCTCCCTGCATGGCCCCACCCTCAGGAGCACCCCTCACTGTGGCCAATGCAGATGGTGCTCCCCAGAATAGGGCCCATGGCACCCAAGGGGGAACAGAGCCAGGGAAAGTGGCACAGCTAGGAGCAGGGAGGAGGCGGGGAGGGGAGGGTGTAGTGTGCAGGCCAGGGGTTAGTAGGATGGAGTTGGCACCCTATTATCTGAGTTACTCAAACAGCAAGGTTTGAATCTCACATTGAATCCTGTGATCCTGGCTGGGGGCAGATGGGACTCCCACTATCTTCAAGGTCAAGGTGGGGCCCCAAAGTGGCTGGGAGGCAGTGGGCGTGCAGGGCCTAGCTAGGTGCAGACTGACACCCTCTGGATCTCAGAGAAGGTGAGCACCCCCTGCACGTGGGGCAGATACCCTGTGCCCAGGGCTCCTGGGCCACACAGAGGGGCTGGGCTTCCCAGGGCCAGCATGACCTGATCAGCAACATCAAGACGAGGAGGTCCTAGGGTCTCAAAAGTGTCCCCAGCTCCAAAGCCCAGCCCCCAGTGTGACCCTAGGGGCCAGGAGCCTTGCAGGATCCCTGCCACAATGATGAGTCCGAGCTCCTTGAGGCTGGAATTTGTGTGTGAAGTGACCTGTGTGGATCTCTGGGAAGCTCCTGGATCAGTGCAGCTGGAGCATCTCCCTGGCCAAGCTGGTTCTGACACCTGCAGCCCTCAGCACACCTGCTGCTCTGAAAAGTGTGTTTCTCCTTAGGAAGAAAGAAGTGCATGAAGATACTGGGGTACTTCAAACATTCGTAGAGGAGCTAGTGTTGCAGCAGGTTAAGCTGCCTGCCGCCTGCAACGTTGGCATCTCATATGAGTGGCAACTCAAGTCCTGGTTACTTTCTGCTGCTGATCCAGCCTCCTGCTAATGCACCTGGGAAGGCAGCAGAAGATGACCTAAGGGCTTGGGCCCCTGTCACACATGGGGGAGACCAGGATGGAGCGCCTGGCTTCAGCCTGGCCCAACCCTGGCTATTGCAGCCATTTGGGGAGTGAACCAGTGAAGGGAGGATCTCTCTCTCTCTCTCTCTCTCTCTCTCTCTCTCTCTCTCTCTCATTCTGCCTTTCAAATAAATAAATCTCTTTTTAAAATTTTTTGTGGAAAACTGAATGAAAAGATACATTTTGCTTGGGTGCAAAGAAATTTTGAAATCTATGCATGTGAAGAAGCTTCAAAAAGTTGATGAAAAATGCACGTTATGGAAAAACTTACGCATGGAGTTCAAATGTTTGTTCTTATCTTTTCATTGTTGAAGTTCCTGCGTCTCAGCAGGCCCTCAACTCATCAGCCTGGCAGGAAATGACCTCTCTGGCTCACGCAACAGCCCAGTGGAGAAAGTTGGTAGAATGATGGTCTGCTAATTCTTCCAACACTTGTAGAAAAAGGACAAGAGACCCAGACACCCTTTGTAGTCTAAGACAAACACAGAACCTAGCATAAGGGGAGTGCATTTGGTCTAGTGGTTAGTTCAGTTATTAAACGCCTGGGTTCCATGTCACGGAGCCTGGGTTTGAGACCTGGCTCTGCCTCCTGCTTTCAGCTTCCCCTAATGTGAACCTAAGAAGCAGCACTGATGGCTCTAGCAATTGGGTTCCTGCCAATCCAAGACCTGGGTGGAGTTCCCGCTCCTGGCTCTGACCCTGGCCCAGCCCTAGCTCTTTGGAGCATCCGGGAAATGAGCCAGCACAAGAGGGCACTCTCTTCCACAGTCTACCTCTGTTTCTCAAATTAATGAATTAATTTCTTTTTTGTATATATGTTTTAAAGATTTATTTTATTTTCTAAAAGGCAGGGGGACCGAAAGAGAGTTCCATCTGCTGGTTCACTCCCCCAAATGGCTGAGCCAGGAACGCCATCCAGGTCTCCCATGTGGGTGGCGGAGGTGCAAGCACTTGGGCCATCTTTCACTGCTTTCTCAGGTGCATTAGCAAGAAACTGGATTGAACACGGAGCAGCCAGGACTCGAACCAGCAGTCCAATGTAGGATGCCAGCGTTGTGGGCAGCAGCTTAACCCATGCACCACAACAGCTCTCAGGGGTGGAAGGAGAGCTGGGTAAAAGCACTTCACAACTTTCTGCATGACCATGACCTTGACCTTGAAAAGGAAAATGCATTTCACACTCACCTTAGCTCTGGGACACTTGATTCAATGCATGGATTTGGATAAGAGTAGCCAGGAACACCCCTACAGATACTCAGGAATGCCACACTTTTGCACCTGACACTGTGGCGACCTTGATTATCCAACAAGAAGCCCCCAAAGATCTTGAGCAGTAGGGCCCCGCCCCTCCCTGCCTCTGAGCCTATTTCCTACACATACTGAGGTTCATTTTGTTCCCATTGTGACAACCAACCAACCCCCTCCCCATGGCGTTTCTCCAACCTCTGTCCAGGATAAATATTAGCTACTGCTCTCAGCCCGGAGCTGTCTGCATCTGCCCTCCCCACCCCACACCCAGCATGCAGCCAAGGTGGTCTTGGCCACCCCCAC